TTGACATTTAGGCATTTTGTATTTTTAGGGGGGGGGGGGGATAATTGACATGACCGTTACCTAAACATTCTTGGAAGACATACATTTCTGCTAAATCCATTTTGGAGATGTTTTACTGTCTCACTCCGACCACAAAGTAAGTACATTTTGGGGTATGTGACTGTTTTATAATTATGTAGTATAGGAAGTGTTTCATTTCGAGATTTCATTATCCCTGTCTGACAGTCTAGCTTTTTCAAAAATAAAAATAATTCCTGTAGGAATATTTGGGAGATAAATTTTAAAAACTAAGGTAGGGATACTTGAAAGCTGGTTCAATACGGATAATTTTTATTTAGTTTTTTATTTATTGAACCATTAAAATCTCTCTCTCTCTCTCTCTCTCTCTCTCTCTCTCCTGTAACCATTCGTTAGCGCAAAATTAGGTTTAAAATTCTACGCACTTTGTGCTCTACCATTTATTAACCCTAACGACAGATCAAGGATTTTTTTTTCAGGCAGGGATGTCGATTGTCAAAACTTGTTCAAAAATTGAAATGATAATTTACTTTTGACAAAGGCAGAAATTGAAAGGGGGAAAAAGTGAAATCTACATCATAAGAATGGGAACATTGTGAACTTTCTCAATTATCTTCTCAGGCAAGGAATCTGGACAAAAAGTATTTAGACAAGAGGAATAAGTTTAAAAGTTAATTTTAGTAAGAATGTGGCATTCTCATCGGCAGTTCGTTTTCCGTTCCTATATGCATCGACTATTTTTAATCATTAAAATTTTATGTCAAGAAATATAATTCACATTCAATTATAGAGGCGGATCCAGCCAGTTTAGAAAAGCGGGGGTGGGTGTGTTTCAGGTCGGTGCCCCCACCACTCATTAGCATAGAATTAAACCACGGCCACTTCAAGTCCTTATTACTTTATGAGAAAGGGGGCCTCCAAAAGCAGTTGAAAAGCAAAAAAGAAATAAATCAAAACCAAAACCAAAAAAAAAATAAAGCAACAACAACACCAACAAAACCTATTTACCACCCTTAAAATCATTTTTGGGAAGGGATAGATCATGGGGGTGGGGTGTTCCTGTAACTTTTCTGTTCGGTACATTAATGCATATTTTCCGGTAACAAAAAATGTGAAGAGAGCTTTCAAATCAGAATATTATTTAAAACTGCAGCAAAAGCTAGATTATCCTCAGAAAAAGTGAGCCCCCAGGCCTCCATCTGCATACTATGGGAGCATTTTAAACCTTTCTCGATTTAAAATATTTTATGCATATTTCTAGAAGTTCATTACTTCTGGAGAAGGTCCTAAAATGGTATAGCTAAAGTTCGCTGGAATCTTCCTTGCATATTACTTGTGGGTATCCAGAGTCCTTAGGCGGGGTTGTGAAGGTACACAGAGGAAAGCAAATCTGCATACATCTACAGATCTACCGAGCAGAAAGGACAGAATTTTTTTATTACTTCAAATTATTCGACGCATAAATATCTATATTACAGAAAAAATTCTATCTGTGTGTGTACGAAAATAAAGGGGGGGTTCCAACCCCCCAGAACTTGCCCCATCTGGAGCCACTAATTAATTCTATTTTGATCATTCATGTACCACAGAATCAAACTCGTTTATTGTGTAAAAAATTATAAATAACTTTAAATCAAGTTGTATTAGGTCTATATTTTAAAAAATAAAGCCAATACACAGTATGTATTTGAAAATAATTGATCGTAATGATTATCCGATCCTTTTCAGATGTTTGTTTGATTTATTTATTTGAGGAGACTGTTATGCATTTTCCCCACCACCCCCACCCACCCCCTCCTTTCACAAGAAAAATCTCGTCAAAAGACGAAAGATTTAATGATGCATGCTATAAAATAGATTTGATGTAGTTAAGCTGTTTATAAATTTTGACTTATTTTGTTCATATTTATATATACAGACAGTAGTAAATTTATATTTTTTTTGAGAGAGAAAAAAATATTTGCATTTTTTTTTTCAATCAACCAAAATACCAGTGAGATTTCCACCTTTGAAATTTCCCCTGACCAAATAAACTGATCGTCGTGGACCACGTGTGTCCAAGTGCTATGTGGTGACTTTTTTTACTGTAGAGTTAGCAATGGATTACATGACTTCTGAGATGAATATTTCAATAAAAGTAAAATAGGACATTTCTTTCGACATGTGCACATCCCTGTAACGATAGCAGTATTCAGGTAAATGTTTTATCACTGCGTTCGATGCGTATTCTCGACCTGCAGGCGTGGATATTCAAACGGTTTTTGCTGACATGTATACATGAATGTATTCCGTGTTTTTTTTTCTCCTATTTTGCAAATGCACATGCATTCAAAAATAATTTACTTCTCTGCATAGTTCAAGTTTTGTTGGATTTTTACTTTTAAAACATGTAATTGGTCAGTTTATGGATTTATGACTACTATGCTATCGGAGATGTGTACATGTCGACAGTCAAGCTAGAAAATCACTCGAGTGAAACAAATCAGCGAGGCTTTATATAACAGGTACAGGTGGCCCAAATTTTTCGATTTAATATGGCGGAATCGAAGAAATATGGCGGACAAGGGCGTACAGGAACGTAGTAAGTCGTACAAAGATGAAAACTGATGCCTTTTTAAGAGTTCATGTCAGCTTTAACGTAGACTGAGGTGCAATGTAACAAATGAATACTGTGTTTGCATTGGGTATATATTTTCCCCATTCAGGAGAGCAACAATCATTTCTGATCATTAAAACTTTGTTGTTTTGGAACTTAATTTCTTGTAGCAGATACCCTTTGTTGAAAATGAACTACATAAACTCAATATTTTTTTATCTAAAAACTTAAAAGGATATTTTCTTTCCAAAGTCCAGAAAACATTTTTGAATAAATGTTTTTCAAAAGGATAGATTTTAATTTGAATGTATGTTGAATTTTAATATTAAATGTTTGATTCCGGAAAATAAAAAATCTCCAAAACCTCATATCAGTATTAATATTAAAATTGTAATATCATTTTTATATCAACACGTACTGGCCATCATTGTGAATTATTGAAATCTGACTACATGACTATGCCAGGGAAAGATAAATGAATGTGATAACACCAAAAACTGTCATAACAGACAGTGCACATGATGAGTGATTTATGAATCATGTCATTATTGTGGTCGACATTTGATAAGGAGGGTAAGTGCAAACTGGTCAGTTCCACGAAGCTCCACAACATCACAAAAAAGGAAACACAAAGTCATTTTACAATTGTATCAAAATTTCATATGTTGAGTATAATATTGGTTAAAAACTGGACTATATAAACAATAAAGCGTGATTTCAATATTATATAACATATACAAGATACAAGACAGGAATGCATCTGATTTTTTAAATGGGAGACGGTCCCTTACAGTGACACCCTTCACCTTGTCGGTGTGTTTCTCCGTGCCTACCCCAGTCTTATATCCGGTATAAGCGTTTTTTTTTTATTGGGAGACGGTCCCTTACAGTGACACCCTTCACCTTGTCGGTGTGTTTCTCCGTGCCTACCCCAGTCTTATATCCGGCATAAGCGTTTTTTTTTTATTGGGAGACGGTCCCTTACATTGACATTTTTCACCTTGTCGGTGTTTCTCTCCGTGCCTACCCCAGTCTTATATCCGGTATAAGCGTTAAATACACGATCTCCCTGTGTGTCTTGTCAGCTTGTTAGATAGGGGTGATAAGGATTCGGGATTATCAATGTACCCTCTATAAGAACACTGTAGGAGGGGAAGTGGTCTATCAGTTTATCGATCTTAGAGGGGACTTCTTATCTGTCAGGCCTAGCAGTGTCACATACATCGCTTATTGTAAAATAAATAAAAAATATATCTTAAATTTGACATCGTTAATAATTTGAGATCGTTTCATGCTGGGTATGCATAATCAATCAAAATTAATTGCTTATTGACATATAAACCAAAAAATCTCGGATATATTTGAGTAACGCTGTAAAATTATTTAACGCAAGTTTTTTCTGCCATAACACAATGTAATTCAGCGATGAAAGGATCAACTGTATCCCCATTTTCCTTTTCCTTCCAGTACTCAGTATATCGATTATACCTTCAACAAAAATAATTTATAACGATCTATCCTCCTTTCTATATCTACCCTAGCCGCTTGGTAAGAATTCAGGTTGATAATGAAAAAAAATCTAACGATGCGGAGAAGAGAGAGAGAATGAAATCGATTGATACATCGTGTTATGGATTCTTTGAAGAAAGACCAAATCAATGAAATCTACACGATATCAGACTTTTGAAGGACATCATTTGATCCCACTTAAATTAAACCATCACATACTATTCTATAAGGGATAAATACGGAAATATATATCCAAAGTTCTATTGTGATAAAAAAAAAGATCTGCAATTAATTGTCACTGTCTGCATGCATATGATATTTGAAGATTATCATTAAATCCATTATAATGAGACTACCTATATCATATTCCTCTGTGGTATATCTCTGTATCTTGCGTCAACTTCGATGAAAAGCTTATATGAGTTCCTCAGGTAGATTCTCATTTCGCGCATCAATGAAAATCTCTATTTATTATCGATTGCAATAGAATGTACCTTACCAAAATAACCCACAAACAAATCAGAAGTCTACGGTTAATAACTTATTCATGAAGTTTCTTATTAGTCCTAATGTACCGGGTATAATTTATTCATTGTTCCACCTGTCCTTAAAATGTACCCATGGTAAGATGGAGGGGAACGAATGTCGACATATCAACACTGTTGTCTGTTCCTGTCGGTATGCAGTAGTATTTAGGACGCATACAATTCATGCATTGAGTTGTACGGAATGTGCATCGACAATAAACCAATGTCTGTACTTATCGAATTTAAATTACAATCCTTCCATACATATTGAGTAATCTTGGCAGGGGATTCGTTTAAAAACCTAGTTATCGAACGCACTAACCGGATTAAATAAAAAGAAAGAAGAAAACACAATTTTATAGATATCTTAATCAGCATTATTTAGTACATTATACAACTCACGAGGAAAATTTCATGACATCAGCCACATCAGTTTTTTCCTCCTAATGACCACAGAAAACACCTGTCTTGTCATTAGCAGGTGATCACAGGTAAGAGAGGAGGAAGGTAGAAATAAATACAGACATTAGCTGGAATATATTCGTGTTAATTACATTTCAACGCAGTCAAATATCACCTGATAACATATGGTTGTAAGTTATATATATATTATTATGTTTATTCACCAATATGTGTTTGTTACTCGTTATACGAGTTCATCGGAAAAAAGTCAAGTTGTCAAATGATTTAATAACTCAGAATAAACTCATAAAAAGTGATTTTCAGCATCTTTTTTTTTAATTTACAAATAATCTTTTCAAGAGGTACAAAATATTTTGAAGCCGAAACTCATCCATACAAATATATATACACAAGCATTCATATTAAAAATACATTCAATATAATTATACTTAAATAATTTATATTAAACTCTTGCCAATTTGGACGGATGGCACTGATAAAGGGCCCGGAAAAGTAAAAAAGGTGGTTCACTTTTTCCAGTCAAACACTCCACTGTCACAATCATAACACTTTCATCAAACTCTCAATCACACGGGATAAAACGGGTAACAAAATATGCATACAGAGTTATGAGCTAACAGTTTGAGCAATAGCTAAATGCAGGTGCAAAAACAGGTAAGTACTGTTTGTAAAGAAAACACAATAACGTTCTATAAGTGTTAAACAAACGATCACGTTTAGCAGACAACAGTTCATTAATACTTCCACAGTTTTGCATATAAGGTATTTCACAACAAGGCCAATAAAACATTATTTAAATGTCACCATAAATAAATGACTTTAAAAATTCTCTGGAAAAAAGTCAATACTGTTCAAAGAGGATGTCTATTATTTTCCTTTTACAATACTGAAGAATCGGTGGTCATTGTAATAATAGTAAATTAATACTTTGAATTTACAGAGTTTAAACATTTCACAATATATTATGACGTTCCTGAGTTTTATACACTGACGGAGGGGTTATCTGGAATTCCAGTGCGCGTGTAGAAAGTGTCCGCTACAATGCGGGTACGACCGTATGGAGGCTTTTTAATTTCTTCTTTCTTTATCACATCTCCAAGTCTCCATCCGTATTCCCAAGAACTCAGTAAAGGAAAAGCGAATTTCTCCTCCGGGCCCTTCCTATTTCTCTCACACAGATACTGATATCTACCCTTGCCCTCCTTCGTAAAACCATCGTATAACTTTTCCCGGGTGCCAGCGGAGGGGGGTCGCATCTCTGCAACCAGCTGCTGGAGCTTTCCTTCTGCTTTGGACATATCAGGGAAAGCATTAAAGTCCGATTTCACTTTGTTGAATTTCGGAGGGGTATAATCCTCTGGAAGCTTTTTGAAAATGTCCTCTGCGGGTTTTGGAGCATTTTGAATTTTCCTTCTCGCAACTTCGGACTGTTTGGAAGTGGCAAGTTGTCCATTGGAATCTTTTAGTTTGTAAAACCACTGCAAACGCGTGTCTCGTTCTTTATTGTATGATTCCTCTAAAAATTTCTGAATCTGCGTGTTTGCCGGATAATTCCGAGCCATTCTCAGCAGTCAGTCAATTATCTTTGAGTGAAAATTATCGAGTAGTATCAATAAATACCTGCCTTACGATAGTCCGCTATTACTTGACGGGACACCGCACGAGCTTATTGACATTTCCCATAGCAACTCGTGTCGTCACGATCTCACGAGATTTTACGAGACGAAACCATTTCCGATCAAAACAAAAATGGCGCCCAACTGTCCAGAAGAAGTCGACGTTTTTACAGTGCCCCATTCTCGAATGAAGGAGCTTGTACACAAGTATTTGGCCATGGTAAATTGGAATTCCTTCAAATATCAATATACTTTTCATTTCATACTTACAATTTATGCTGTTGATGCAACTATGACTATTTTTAGAATGAAAATTTAACAGCTCATAATTTATAGCCTAACTTTAAATGGCTTAAATGAAAAAAAATATCTACTGACACAATAAATATATCAATTGACACTCAAAGATTTGTTGCTGATATATTGTGCTTTATGTTGTCAAATGCTTTAACTTATTTTAAAGCTTTAGTTGATTTGTTTTGTTACTGTTAGTCCGGCTCGTGACTAAGAAGTAAATTTTCCGGGTTTATTTTAAAGTTGTGTAAGTAAATCTACTGGAAATTGCATTTAAATATATCAGAAAGCAGAGGAACTTTGCAAAGTTGCAGGAAAGACAATTTCGTTTTAATGTTTCTCAATTTTTTGATTGAATGTATGCCAAGGGGACATTTTTTTCATGAAATATACAGTTGTGTGCCAAAAGTGAAGATAATTTTATTTTTTCTTTATATATTTCATTGAAAACAATATTTTGTAAAATCGCTGGTATGACAACATTTCTTGACAGATTTTATCAAAACTTTCTTGATAATCCAAGAAATTGCCGTAGTTAAAAAAAGCAATAGTTTTTATCTGATAAGCATTGATAATTTAAAAATATTGTAATTTAAGTGTGACATGATTCTTTAAGTCATATACTCACAATGAATTATATAATCAACATAGATCTTGAAGTTTAGAACTGATGTTTAGTGATGAACTATATTTTACTACATATTAAACGTGTAATGATCTTTTGAAAAAAAGATAACTACACATTTTCTAGTTTAAGTACTGAAATAAATAATCAAATTGGACAAAAATTGACCATTTACCTATGATTTTACAAAATGTTGTTTTCAATGAAATATATAGAGAAAAAATAAAATTATCTTCACTTTTGGCACGCCACTGTATATGTTTTAAATATGGACTTGCAAGAAACACTACTTATTAATAATATTTTAAATGATAATATTGACCAATGACATGTTTAATTTGGTTTTGTAATAGTTCATATCCAACAAATACCATTGGAAAAAAATAAAATAATATAAAAAAATAAAATAATTTTCCGACCTACCTACCCTATTTTTTTCAGGCTGGTAGCAGGAGACAAGACTATTATTTTTCTGGCCTTACCATGTTCATCTTCTTTGGAAAAATTGATTCATGACATGGACAGTTGTTAATTTTATTCTATTGTTAATAGGGGGAGGGGAGAATCAGAAAAGAAGGCGTCATGAGTTTCCAGCTTTACTAGAGGGATACGCTTGTACTTTACGATCATTGAGAATATGATGCTTTAAAATATTATGTTGTATGTTTACAGATGACGGACACAAATTTCGCAGATGTCCATCACATGACAAACCTCCTAGAAAATCTCGTCAATGCCTTTCATGAGTTCAGAGCCCACGAACAAATTGAAAATAAATACATTATGAAAAAACTCAAAGCAAAACTAAATGCGCTTTCGATTCGGAGCTCAGCTGTGTGTAACTGTCACTCGGACAATAAACTGACGGAGATGTTGATGCTGCTGCAGGACGGGTACCACTGTCGTGAGAAGGGGGAGGTGGACCGACAGAACTATGGGAAAAAGCTACGCTCAGCGCTGGAGGATTTCACTCAGAAGTTCATCCCACACATGGAGGAAGAAGAAGAGGTTTGTGTCAATTTTATCATATCTTTTTTTAATCAAATTTAGAAGCAAATACTATACAGGGAAATTTTCGCCCCAGTTTTATTTTCGCCCCTTTTGCCCTTCTCACAAGTGGGCGAATTTAAAAGGGGGCGAATTAAAAAAACACAGTATAATTTCTTGAACAGAACTGTGACTGGGCGAATTTAAAACGGGGTAAAATTGTTAGCAAGTGTAAAAGGGCGAAAATAACCCTGTATACAGTACTGTGTAACACTACAGTAACAGGTTATTTGTGTTTTAAATCATAACTTATTTATTGTTGAATTTTCATACTCTTGTGCACAAGAGTAAACTGAATTTTTTTGTCGAAAAATCCTGATGAGATTTACCATAAAAAATAGTAAAAATTCAAAATATCTTGTACATTTCATATTAATAAATGTGAGTGATAGGTCTATTCAGATATTATGGTTGTACTTGTGTATTTTAAGTTACTATAATCAAATGTTCCTTTTGCAGATTTTTCAACCAATGCTGATGAAGTATTTTTCGTTTGAAGAGTTAAGGTCCCTGAAATCTAAAGTGATTAGAAAACATCAACAAACCATAGAGGATGAATATGTCGAAAATGAAGAATGTGTTTGTAAGAACAATTTTCATCAACATGATCAAAATGGTTCAAAAAATATTCTTATTATGTAATCTTGATCTAAGGAATGATTGGTTATTACAAACAGAACAAAAATGGGCTTTGATTTAAAAAGGCAAAAAAAAAAAAAAAAAAAAAAAAATTGAGCCAATCATTGAAAAATTAAGAAAAATATTTGATTGATGTATTCTGATTTCAATAACCCTGTAAGAATTGTGAAAATGCTCTATATTGTATTTTAATAAAGTTTAAGATTATTTAATAACACAATCAATGCCTTAATTCCAGCCTCGTCTTCTGATGAAGAGGAAAAATGTATGAGATCAGAATCCCATCGTGAGCCCAGTGGGACTGAGTGTTTACCTGATGAAGTCCTAATGGCTGTCTTCTCCTACCTGAATCCCAGGGAGTTATGTGTCTCAGCCCAGGTGTCAAAAAGATGGAACAGCCTGGCTATGGATGGGTCTAACTGGAGAATCCTTAGGCCTGTCCAGTGGTTCAAGGGTAAGGTAGCAGGAGGAAATAGTAATCCAATAGAAACAAGAGTATACATGTGTATATATTTCCAACTAACTTTCCAATTAAATATTAAGGTTAATTTGGTTTTTTTTTAATGGAGAGCTAGTTCACAGTACCACTAGTTGACATGGTCAGAGATAATATCAATATATTTCTTGTAGGACTTTGGTCTCGCCAGGAGAAGATGGACATTGAGTTGGAAGAGAGGGACGTCGAGACGGCCGAGTTCTATCCAGTCGATGTCAAATACGACGAGGATGCTGATGTAGATGAGTCAGAGGAAAGTGATGATTTGGATGAGATGTCTCCTGAATGGATGCTGGTAAATAACAAAATAATAAGCCAGCATTGTCAGTCTGTCAGAACCACTGGGTGTACATATCAGCAATAGAAGGGCAATATACATTAATTATATGATAAGAATTCTTGCTTTGTGAAGGGTTATTAATGTAACTTTTCTACACTTTTGTGTCTAGTTCACTACATCTTGCATTAAGATATCTTTTTATGTGATTTATTGGTTTCTTGCTTATTCACAGTGTCCTGTTTAATTGTATAGTTACTGAATTGTATATACATAAATGAGATAATAATAAAAGAGGACTTTGAATCAGGTACAGAAGGAGTCCAGGATGCTGACTTGTATGGTGAAGCACCTTTTCCCCAGGGTGGGGGCCAGTGTGGTGGAGTTACACCTGGGCTACAGTAGGGGATTAACTAATGGAGTGGTATGTCTTAGAAATCTAATTAAAGGGACATGGACACAGTTTCAGCTAAAATTTTTCAAAATTCATTTTTCCATTTTTTTTTATGTTTACAAATACTTAACTAAGGTATTTTTAATAATCATCAAAACACAAGACAGATTTAGAGGTCCAAATCTTTGTTATGGAAACAAGGCTCGTGCCATAAATTTGTTTACATTGGTTAAAAATTTAATACTGTAAAACGAGAAAATTTGGCGCATACGTATTTTAGCGCAAACGCAAGAGGGAATGCCTTGGCGCAAATAAATTTTAGCGCTTTCACTCGTCGTTGAAAGTTATAAATGTATTGTTTTTATTTATCCACTCCCGTATTTGACTTTTTGGTTAATCAAGCATGGAAACACAATAGCACTCCCGTATATAAGTAAACATTTGTCAACTTTACCGTGGTGTTTCAATCACATGAACGTGGCACAATGTTAATATTTATTTAAAATTTATTTTATTTTTATTTTAAATAAAAGAAATGGAATATTTACACATTTTATCCATATTAAAACAATGCATGCATCGACAGGTAATAACTTGGATAAACGGTAATCATAATCAGGTTTTTTCTGCAAGCTCAATATCCATGTTTGATTGCATTGTTTACCTCGAGACAATAGATGGTTGACATGCCGAGAAGCCAAACTTTGAAGGTGCTAATGACAAGAATCGGGTAACAATTACCGGGGTAACAATAGTTTAATTAAATTATAATTTGGCAGAGCTTTCTCGATCGATCCTACCATGTGCAGTGCTAGTGTGTATAAAAAATCCAACGACCCTTCGACATTACGTAATCGCGCGTTCCTGTTTACATGTTCTTAATATGTAAAAGCTTTGAACACACACAAATAATAATTTTTAGAAATCCGTTAGCGCACAGTAAATTTTAGCGTACATGGGCTCTTGCGCCAAAGGCGCTAAAATAAGTAGTGTGCCAAATATTCTCGTTTTACAGTATATGTTTGTTCAAAACAGATTTTTTTAAAAAAGAAGTTAATTCTAGATACGATTAGACAGTTTGTAGTGATTTGCTGAATCCTATTCTGTTATAGTTATGATATTATTTATATTTAAACAAAAACAAAGCACAAGCCTTGTTTACATTATGAACGAATTTTAAGTTCTGTATCTACTTTGTAAATCAACAAATAATGTTCAAATTTTTGCTGATCATTTGAATTGCTTTAATTAGGAAACATTAAAATTGGTTTTTAAAACATCAGTTGAAACTTTTTTCATGTCCATTTTAATATAAAGCTAGTCGGGGTCTAACTAACATGCAGTAAGTTTTACAGTTTACAAGTAATTTCAGAAAGTGGGAATTTCACAGAAGATTTAACTACATATTTCTATGATTTTTTTTTTGAATAAAAGTGATCTTCTGACACTGTGTGAAAGGGTGCCTTTGACTACTGGTATATTGATTCAATATCAAATACATAGGAGTTATGTCCCTTTGAATGCTCTGAATTTTATTGTGGAACTATAAGAACTTATTGATTATTAACAGCTGTACAGAATGCTGAGCTGCTGTAACAATCTGGAAGTTTTAGACCTTACCCAGACCAGAGTGTCAGACATAGGATTTAAGAGGTCAGTATACAGATTAATCAGTCACCTTTATTACTTCACCTGATCTCATCTTTGAGCTTTTCTAATTAAAGTCTGTCTGTCATTGGTCTGGTGTAATTTTTGTATTCACTGAGTGAATTTCAACCAAAATGGCTACAAAAAAGTTTTGTTCAAGTGAAGGACAGACCCTATTTTCAAGAGATAATATTAAAAATAAGTTTGAATTCACTTTAAATTTCTCCTCCGAAAAACCACTGAACTAAAAAGACACAAGACACATATGGGTGTCTTGATGAACAATGAAATATATAAATGTCTTGATGAACAATATATGAAAGTGTAATAAATGTATAATTGTCTTCATGAAAACTCACTATATAAATTTCTTCTTGAAAACCGTTAGTGACACATATGAAAGTCTTCAGAAACATTGAAATATATAAATTTCTTCTTGAAAACTGAAATATATAAATTTCTTCGTGAACCTCTAAGCCAAAATTTATAATTTTAACTTCTTCCATGAGTCAAAGTAATGAAAATCATTTGAACTTTAGAAGATAATGGTTACAATACAGGTGTGGTTTATGTACGTATTGGTAAGACTAGGTGACTCAGGTGAGTGTTGTGGCCCATGGTCCTATTATTGTTATTGTTTGGAGGTTATTTAATAGAGGGAACAGATGTTGTATTTACAAAATGTGAATTAATAAAACACTTTATCGTTTCCAGTTTGGGCAAGAACAGGAATGGCAGAAAACTGAAGCATATAAATCTCTCAGGCTGTGTAAACATTACTGATGTGACGATACAGAAAATATCCTCAGCACTGGGATGTATCAAAGACACCAGATCGGAAAAAGTTAGTGATAATTCGAATACCTGTACTGTCAGAGGAAGGACCTGCTGTCATGAAAGAGAGGCTCACGGAAGACAACAGGAGGAGTCGGGAAATGGACTCGATTTTGATTCAGTGGATGTAGCATTGCGTAATGCTTGTGATTTTGTGGAAAGTGAGGCTATGGCTAGACATTTGATTGATTTTCTGGAGGGAGAGACTATGTTTTCTTCCTTCATGCACCAATCCTTTCTGCCACCCTTACTAAGGGATCAACAACAAAGGACATTGGAATTGAATAATTTCCTAAAAGACAGTTCGGGCTTGGGCACCAAGAAAGAAACTTATCTTGCAAGGAATGATTGGAATTCCTCGTCATATCCTACAAATATTTTCTCAGACAATTTCTCCTGGAGGATGAACCCCTCTGTAGAGAGGGATCTAGGGAGTTCCCCTCGAAGGACTAATTCCTCCCCCGAGAGGATTCGCGGGAATTCCCCGTACAGGACTAGCACCTCCATGGGGGGTAATGGTGGGGCTTGTTATGTCTGTGATAATAGTGACAATGACACTCCCCAGAGGGCGCTGCGGTTCCTCTCTCTGTCCGGCTGCTCTTTGGTGACAGATGAAGGAATCAGGTATTGGAAGAGCTGAAACTTGAAATTATCTTTATAGGGTTATGCTGAATATGTTCTTTCGATTCTGATTTCTCTCATATTGTACAAATATACTGCAATAAGTTAAGCAAAGTTACACAAACATGCAGTTATTATCAATATCATAAACTATATTTATTAACAAAGTCACATCATACTTGCCAACCTCCAGCATGTAAAAATCTGGTCATGACCAGATTTGGAAAGTAAAAAATCTGGTCATAACGCGTAACGACATTCACGACATATTTACCATGATTAAATTTTATACATATATACCAAGTATTTGTGTATTGAGAATTAATTTATTGAAAAAGGATTTAATTTTCTATGACAAAAAATTCATACATAGAGAATCTAATTTGCTTTAATTTACATGTTAAAAATGAAAATTGAAGGTTTCATATTTCAGTATTGACCTGAAGTAAATGTGCATTTTTTTTAAAAAAGCCTTTCAGTTTCTGCTAAATATGAAAGCATACCCATTTCAAAGTTGTTTTTCCTTTCTCTTAATTAATTAACTACTGCAACATGTCTTAAATTTGAAGTTAGGCCTACACTGTCTTTGATCACTTTATTTTATCTAGAATGAAAGTTTTTTCCCCCAAGATTCCTTGATATGTACATAAATATCGTTTCTCTTGTTCTTGGTTCAATCAGAGACATGTGTTTGGTTCAATTTGTTCCTGTTGGCCCTGATAACGATCTAGTTCTATCGGAGGCCATTTTAATTGACTTCTAACATTGATTTGTAAAAACAACACCCAGTTAATTGTTTACACCTGCACTGATAATTAATCCAACGGCATTGTTTACGTAGATCTATGCTTGGGTTGTAGCTGGAAGTAAAAGTGCAACCTAATTTACGAACCAAATCCGGAAATCGGGAGATTTTCGGGTTGTTCGGCAAAAATCGGGTGATAAGCGTGACCCGCCGGCTCATAAAAAATAATCGGGTTACGGGTTGAAAAATCGGGTGTGACCCGACGAAATCGGGTGAGTTGGCAACTATGGTCACAATATGGGAATTTTAGGAAAAATAAAGTTATTTTTGGGACAGGGGTCTTTTACCATGTTGACTGAACCTGTATGCAACATAGAACGATGCCTGAGTTTTGTGTAGGGAAGTTTCAAGATATTTTAATTAGTTTACATTGCTAGTAAATATTGGTTGGGGTTATTCAACTGAATCAAAATTTTTTTTTACTGTGACCTTTCTGACTTTTTTTCTTCACTTAGACTCTATAATTTTTGTTAAAGTAAGTTACAGAAATAAAAAACCTTTCAGTTACTTTATTTTTATCAAACCTTGCTGATAGTGATACATATAATTTGTGAGAGAGCTATTCAACATCTTTTTTTTTTTTGCCTTTTCGTTGATTGACCTTACTGTTCTTAAATTTCAAAGAAATATTTATCTAAAAATATACATGTATTTTATCAAATTTTATAATCTTATATAATTTATGAAAGCTATTGAATTAAATCAAAATTTTTTTTTACCTTGACATTACTTTGACTTCACTTTTTCTCAATTATTGGTGAGAATTCATCAACTGTGTTCAGTTGTTTTTACCTCGACTTTCCCAATGACTTTACTATTCATTCTATGTAAGAATTAGTTTTAAAGACACTATTTGGACAATATGTTTTTATCAAACTTCATACACCAGTTAACAATTGATTTTAAAATTCAAAAAAATTATGAAGATTTTACAGTTGGCAGGGACACTGAGGGCTGAATGAGACTTACTGGAGAAACAGCTATTTTGATTTATTACATGTATCAGAATTTTTTTCAAAACAAAATGTATATCCTTTTATTGAGTTTTGAATTTTTGATAAGACATACATGTACATCCAGGTATGATAATGGGAATTATTGATCTGTTTTTGTGACCAATGTCCGTAATTAGGGCCCCGCAAGGATTTGCGGGTGCCCTATAGTAATCACTATGTCTGTCCGTCTGTCACTCTTCCGTCCACAAATTTTCTGTTTTTTTCTAATAACTTTTTTTATGGTTGCCCAATCAAGTTCAAATTTGGTATGGTAGTTCACTAGGCAGAAATACATATTTTGATGCTAAGTTTGGTTCTCTTGTCTTCTGGTTTGGAGCTGGGGTGGTGAGGATTCCTTAACCATGCATAAGAATGAATTCTTTTTATTGCCCAATAACAAATACATGGTAGTTCAGTAGGCAGAAATGCATATTTTGGAGCTAAGTTTGTTTCTCTATTAGAGCTGGGGTGGTGGGGTAGATTCCTTAACTTTATATAAGAATGCATTCAATTGGCAAAGAGAGATTTGAAGATGTTCCCATTGTAAACTGAATGCTGCTATGAGTCCCATAGCTTTCCCTGAAGAAAATCCAGAGCATTATCTTTATTGTCACATTGAGATGAATTGCCACCTCTGTCTGCAAATGAAGTTTGTTTTGAAGTTAGGTCAATTTGGAATGCTATGAACACTCTGAAATGTGGAATTAATTATAAATTTTCATAATTTATTTTTGTTTAATAGTTATGATTTCATTGTCTAAACACAAAAAATAGATTAAAGAAGATTTTTTGATTTATTTTTTTTCACTTTATGTTAATTCAAGAATATTATTAATTTTTAAGGTAGTTGTATAAAAACACCATTCTATCATTAATACTGAAAAAGTTCTTATTGTAACTTTAGAAGAAAATGATGAGAGAGGTACAATTAATCCCTTGGGATTAATTATCTAGCCTGCTGCAGAAAATTTAGTAGGCTTTTCTTTATCTGTCACTTTAAGATTAATGAAAACCTTTGTCTGCAAAAATAAGGTCTAGCCTTCATGATATTGGCATTCATTGAAGGCTGGATTTAATATAACACAAGCTTCATAATTGTTTAAATATACATTCAATGTTAAGTCGTTCTTTACTGCCTAATGTAAATACAAAGAATTATTTTCAGGTTTTTGAATGTTCAGAATTATCTTGAAATTTAAGAATACATTTGCTGTTGCTTATTCTTCGTACATTTTTTAATCATTCCATAAGCTGCACCCTTTTAATTCTACCCCATGGCGGGGCCCTTGCTGACTGGTCAGTTTTCTAGTTCTTTTTATTATAACACATTCATATTGTCAGGTATTACACAGTCATATAATTATTTGTTAAACGTCGTGTAGACATTCCTACCCAGTGATTTGTTAAACTTTCTGTACAAGAAGTCACAGCAGAGGATGTGTCACCGATTACTGCTTTAATGAATATTAAATTAGGTCACCATAAACTACTTTAACACCCATACAAGACTAAAACAAATTGTAGGAAAATAAGATTCTTATTCTGTGAATGTATTCAGAATTTTATACTTATCATTGTTTTGATTTAGAGATGAATTATATGTTATCAGTCTTGTATATTTTCTGTAGAGTTATATATTTTGGCCTGGATTATGAATGCTCACACAACCCACTGCATAATAATATAAACTCTGCTAATAGACATAAGAAAGTGGTATTTTTTATGAGCAATTTAAAACTTTTTTTTTCCAAACTGCAGGAAATCAGATGAAATCAAAATCAGGTTATATTACTTTGGGTTCTGTCCGTATCAGTGAAAGAATGCTTTAATTTAATCTGGAAACTTCAGCCCAATAAAATTTGTCAGGGACAAAGATTTGAATGTCCTTATATACAAGAAGTTTTGAATCGGATGTGATGGTAAAAAGTTGCAAGTAATGCCCCCTTTCAAATTATACTGTGTATTTAAAGTGCACCGTGCCTTTCATAGTGTGTTTCACTTCAGGTTTTGGGGGAGTAGGGGATATGTGAGCTTGCTCACTTTTTCTTCTAGTATGATTTAGTTTTTCAGTATCAAACCACACATTAAAAACACTGAATTTATACTGTAAATTAAAATTTTTTATCATGTACCGGTACTTAGTAGTAAATATACCGATTCCGCGAGATATGATACGAGTGACGTCACAATACCCTGAATTTATACTGTAAAATAAAATTTCATATCAAAAGAGATTGAAAAACATTAATTTTATTATAATTGAACAGTTCCTTGGCCAGGGATGGTGGGCTTCCTGAGTTGGAGTACCTGGATTTATCCGGCTGTATGCAGGTAACTGGAGCTGGACTGTCAGAGCTGGTCAGCACCTGTCCACAGCTGGACCATGCCCAGCTGTTCTACTGTGATAATATCCCGGATGATCCGTACGCCTCAACAGCCAGCGGATGTCAGAACCTGGAGATATCCACCAGGAGGTGCTGCCGGTCTGGATATTAACAGGTAAATAAAATTCCATTTATCCAGGTTAACAGAATTCTACAGGTAACTCTTGATGGCTCGAACTTCGATCTCTCGAAGTTCTTGATCGCTCGAAGTGAGTCTCTGGTCGATTTTTTCCCCTATATAACTAAGCAAATTTACTCTTGATTTCTCGAACTCTTGATCTCTCGAAACCCTTGATCCCTCGAAGTCAAAATGCAGTCCCGCTATGCATATTCTATTGAAATTTACCCTTGATACCTCGAAGTGGCTATGTGTATAGTAGTTACATAATTAGCCACTTTACCTGGACATTTAATGGCCCCAGGCAGAAGACGCGGGTCTCGTGAAACGGGATGTTTATTAAGGTGACACTTATACTGCAAGGTGATAATTGATTTATAATTAATCTTATGTTGCCTATATGCTATTAAAATAATTATCATCGACTGTATTACGATAATTTAGAAATGCAGTGTCACTGAGAAATTGTAATTGCAGATAACAAGATGAAAGACTTATTAAATTTAGTTTTTATTTCGAGTCAGTGTCAAAGTTAATTAATGAAATATGAAAATCCAGAAACAGCCTCGGTGTCAATATGATGACTATTGTTGGACAAATCTTACAGAACTTTGTTCAATGCACGTGTTTGGAAAAATCTCAATGCTATGTACCGCGCGGCGCTGTAAATTGTCGTTTTCATATAACGAATGCGTATTATGATGTCCGTATTATAAAGAATAAAAAAATGATGATGTGCATTTTTAGCTTTACTCAGATTAATAGATATTCATATAAAATACGAATTCATATCGCTGTTTTATAAAAACCACGTGTGAAAAGTAAGTACTGCATGAAAATCATTACATCCGGTAAGACTAATTTTAAAACCTGCCAAACAAACCCGGAAAATTCCGGACTCCTGAAAACTCGACCTCTTGATCTCTCGAAGTTTTTCCTCGGTCCCGCGGACTTCGAGGTATCGAGAGTTACCTGTATATATTTAGGTAAGCAGAACTTTATTTATCTAGGACATGTAGGCTATGTAGGACATATAATCTGGAGTACTGTCAATCAGAGGATGCTGTTTTTAAGCATATTTATGTGCTGACCCAGAAATCCTGAGTTCTAAATATTCTTTTTTATGCCATAACAAATATTAGGTTCTGACAAATTCCACTGCCCTGGGCTAATGAATTTTATACGCAGATAAGTGTGTTTTTGAAGGCAGTTTTCCATGGAGAAGAGACTTAAATTATTTTGTTGTAAGAGTTATCTTCCTTTCCTTATCAAAGTTTGTATGTGAACCAGTTTAATTGTGCCATCCTTTATTTTAATTCATAACGATTCTATCCAAAAGTTTTATGCCTTTTTTTTGGCCATGGAGAAATGAAGAAAGATTAAACAGTTACAAGGGCAGTTAAAAATTTAAAATAGATGGACTCCTTACACAGAAAAAATATTCAACAGCATAAACAGACAAAAAGTCATACATAATATAAAAGATTCTGTACATACATGGTCTAAATTTCATATCAAAATATGGAAAATTTATATGAGATAAGATATCATGAAGTCACAGTGTAGTAAAATATTTTGTTTGACATCACAGGTAAATAAAAAATGTGAGCTTCCATTTTCTAAACATTTTCTCTTGATATTGACACTACATAGTTTGCATTATATTATCTACTCAGCATAAACATTCATATTATATCATATCTGGTCCAGTTGAAGACTTTAGCAAGAGATGTTTGTAAAACATTTAAGGCTATCTAAATTTAATTCTCTGGTTCTCAGGCCAATATTCTCCAAAACAAATGCAGGAGGGAGGCAATTTATTTATCATTTTATTGGCAATAAAGTAGATGAGGGAGGTATTTTTTTTAATTTTAATTTTCGAATTTTCTTTAAAATAAAGATAATTTTTTTAAATCACAGATATACTTTCCATGTCTGATCAAAAGGTTTGCTTTATCCATCGCTTATCAGCATGTGAATCGTAGGCAATGTCTTCGAATGTATTTTCAAACGAAGTAGCCAAAATCTCTTTGAAAATGGCTACTGGAAGTGATATTTGAATACTAAACTACGAAAAAATAAAGACGGAACTTTTTTTTCCGGATTGGTCTCCGCAATACCAACTTTTTATTTTATTAAAAATACAATAAAATTGGCAATGTGGCTACCTCAAAACGGATGCGCGCGGGCCTGAGAACCAGAATTTCAATTTTATGTAGCCTAATATGCCCCCTAACCCAAATAGGAATTTTTCTAAGTCCAAAGGACATAACTCTGTATAAAAATGGCTAGATTGTACCCAATACAGAACTAGACCTAAATGTTTTTTATGAGAAATCTGTATGCTGAATTTAATTTCAATATATGCAAATTCTGCAAAGGAAATGAATGGAAATGATGGTGAACATACAGATGGACTGACAGACAGCAGCAAAGCAGTACTGTATACAAGAAAATTTTGGCCCTTTTTGCCCGATTCACTAATGGGTGAATTTAAAATAGGGCCAATTCAAAGAACACAGTATAAATTCTTAAACAGAAGTATGACTCGGCGAATTTAAAACAGGGAAAAATTGTAAGCAAGTGTAAAAGGGCGAAGATAACATGGCGAAAATAACCCTGTATACAGTATGCCCTTTATTCTTCGAAGAGGGGCATAAATATAGTATGATATATTCTAGTTTGTTGTAACCACCCACCTGATTTTCCACATTTCTGAAATATTCTGTGACGCTGTAACTCTCAATCACGTTCATAACAGTCACAATCAAGTTTTTTGTGGATGTTCTTCTTCTGTCCCCACACGTATTGCCTTTTACTGAGGTCTTGCTGTCTAAAATTATCTGTTGCTATTTGTAGACAGATGTCATAATTGCCAACAGTTTCCAATCATTTACTATACAGAGGTTGTGCATACTGAAATGAAATTTAGGTATACAGATTTATCATAACTAGGTCAAGTTCCGTTTTGGTTATGATAGAGCAGTTTTTGACAGAGTTTTGCCCCTTAGACTTAGAAAAAATCCAGTTATATGGGGGAGGGAGAGCATAAGTGTTTCACAAGCATGTTTTGTTAATTTGTATTTATGTGAACTGAGTGTATTCTTTAAATAGAAATGAATGTTCTTCTGTCTGAAGGGCCAACTATACAAACAGTCATTACAGCTTATGCCATCCTCAATGAATATAATTTTTTGAAAGTATAAAATTAAATTTTAATGGTGCAGCAAATCATTTCACTGTGTCAGCTAGCTTAATACTTATTCAATGAATAATTAAAATCCCTATTTTACCTTGTCTGTTGCACCACTAGTAATGAATTTTACCTCTCTTTGATCTAGGTTTAAATTAAGGAATCACTGTCTAGTTCGTATAGTATGCCAGGGCATCAACGATAGTGGGAAACATGGGATAATTTGCATAACGGGCGAAGCCCATTATTAGGGGGTGTAACAATATGGCTTAATATGTGTATCACTGTATACCATTGTACGCCATGTGCACTGGGACTGACTATCACAAAATATGTCATGATATTTCACAAGTAATTGCTCGTTGCTCGTTGCACCGTGGTTCAGTACAATTTTATTCATAATAATGCATTATTTTATGTGACATACTAGAACGTGTATCAGATATCATTACATCCCCTTATGAATAGTACATTTTGAAAAGCAAGTTAAAATTATTTATTGGGAATTTTATTTCTGAGCTTGACTTGAATGAGAGTGTCTGGCTCTTAGTGTTAGTTAATTTATAGCATATACTGAATAGCTATTGTCAGTGATATTAATGGAAGTGATTTTGTAAATTATTGTAAATCAGTTATTCCTTGGTGTTTGGTATAAACAGAATGGCGTCAGTACTTTGTAGACTGCTTTCAGCTTCCGTCATAATTACGTTTTGTTGCTGGAAGCCTTACTTCATATAGCTGTATTGGAATAATCAATTCGTATGTTCTGTACTCAGTCCAAATATTTATAGTGCCATTATCTAACTATAGGCATGTCATGATCAGCTCCATGCATATTGGTATGGCTGTTAATGTTCTGTTAATGATGTGTCAATCAATGACTGTATATAAGAGGGAAGGTTTATTGTTTAGGCTCTGTGGGTATATCAACATTAATACCGAGTAATGGGGAATTTCTCTGGAGGATGATTCTCAATCATTTTCTTCTATGTATTTAGTAAATGAAGTAAACTTTTCATTGCTGTTTTATTAATGTGACGAATATGATATTCATTTTGTAAACAGAAGAAAGGGTTGTAGGGGGAATTCATTATTGTCTGGCTGGAGGCTGTTGAGGTGTTATTGCAGTGCTTTGCTGGTCCTCATTGTATAAATGTGATAATGGCATAGAAGAACTGAGTAGAGAAGTCATTCCAGTACATAATCCTAAAAAGTTGGAAAATCCAAGATAAATTTTGGAATCACCAAATTAAAAAGTAAAAAAAATCATGATTAGTGTCAAACCACAATGACAACATGCAAAAAATGTGTGAATCTGAGGAAATAATCAATTTGTGAAAGATTGAAATTACAAAGAATTTCACTCTGTTTTCTTAGTAACTTATTTGCTTTTTAGCTCACTTGAGCCAAAGGCTCAAGTGAACTTTTCTGATCAAAAGAACGAGGGCGCCTTTGATTGGCATTCGGCAGGAATCTGGGCGTAATTGAAAAGTGAAAATTTTACCGACATGTCACATGAAATTTTAACATTTTTTTAATTTATCGGGTTCCTGTGCAACAGGAAAGGAAAATATTTTCCCGAAACTGAGCTCTGATTTGCTAAAAAATAACTTGGAAAATTGGCCAGATCAGACATTTGGTACAAAATGGTACATTTTTAAACACGTTTTTCTAAAAATTTTCTATCTCTGGGTCTTCTCTCCATGATTTTGAAACGTTATTTGTGTGTATTTCAATTAAAAGAAATGAATACACATTTTTAAAAAATGGAGAGAAGACCCAGAGACCACTAAAAATGAACTTT